GGTTTGTTTTTCCTTGAGAAAATACTGAGCTGCATTACATGCCAGAGCATCACTTGAAAGAGTGGACTTATTCCACTTGCCTTATACTTTACAGTAGGTGTCAATGGAGTATAATTCTTAGATATGACTAATCCACACCCACCCCACTCCTTGTACATTATTATACTTAAAAGCTTGTACAGGTAAGCCTCAACTTACGACCACAATTGAGCCCCAAATTTCTGTTGTTAAGCGAGACATTTGTTGAGCTTTGTCCCATTTTACAACTTCCCTGGGCACATTTGTTAAGTGGAGCACTGCCGTTGTTACATTTGTAGTGCAAGATCTGGTTTCCCCGTTGACTTCTCTGATCAGAATGTCGCAAAAGGGGACCACGTGACCCCCAAGACACTGCAACCATCACAAATGTGAGTCAGTTGTCAAGTATCCAAATTTGGATGTCATGGCCATGGAGATGCTACACACACACACACACACACACACACACACACACACACCCATATATATGAAAAATAGTCATAAGACACTTTTCAGTGCCTGTTGTAACTTCCAACTTTGTTCTGAGTGCTCAGGTCTATGATACTATGAATCCACGATTGTACTGATAGCATCGTATGTGCAGCCTGTTTACACGGAATTATGACATTCTAACTCTGATTTCTGGGAGGAAATATAACCAGGAGTGAATCAGGACCTTTGCTCAACTCCTGAGTTAACATGGGTTATAAACCTTAGTGGTTATAATCCTATATGCATGTATTGGGGAGGCATTTTCCCATTTTTCATCGAAGCAATAATGGCACTGTCCAGTCTAACATGGACCCTTAACTCTTTGTTATTTTCCAATGCTATATACACACTTGCATCTAGTTTAAATCCTGGGGCAGAAAAAGTGGGTGTCAAAAAAAATGGAAAGGGTAATCTTGTAAACTATTGGGAAAAATGAGTGGATGTGAAGATGGATGTGCAAGTGAGTGTGAATGGGTACGGTATGGTTCCTCCTGTCCAGTGCGAGAGGGAATGTAAGGAGATTTGTACCCAACTAATTGGAAATCTGGCCCTATTGTTCCAGAATCTCACTGTCTAAGCGAAACCAAATTCCTGGCCTTGGAGATAAGATCCAGACCCCTTATTTTGATGCAAATCTTGAAAGCTACCTAAGGAAAGGTATCCTTGAACTCAGCTGGGCTTCCAGCAGGAGTCTCTGAGAAAAAAACTGCCTGGTTCAGTGGCGTATAGGGCAGACTCTCCACACATTTTGGGGGGACATGCTTGATGGCTGACAGGATCCTCAAGGTTGAAAATTTAGTCAGACCAAAATGCCACAGAAGTCCTGGGTATTTGTGCTAAACTGACACAAGGAGAGTTGTACCTATGTGGTACAAAATATTGTCTCCTTGGCCCGAGGAACTATTTTTTTTTTTTATGTGAGTCGGTTTGCATACTGTACAAGGACCTGGAAGGAACGCTTGTTTTAAAATAAAATTTACGGGGTGGGGAAGGGGGAGGGGAATGGTGTTAAAATCCACCATTAATTCTGACTTTGAAGTCATCCTACTCCGGAGTAGCTTCCTTTTCGGCCGACCAACTCATCTCGAGGAAGTGGTTTCAAACATCCCAGCCTCGAGTTTTTAAATCATATTAATGCAATTTCCCGTTAAGCTTCTCCTTAATATATATTCAAGATGGTCCGTATAAGTGAACCCTTCGCGACGTAATTTATATATCTAAGAGGATTTCACAGAGGCTGGCGAGGTAAAAGTTTCTGCAAATAAAACATTGTAAATGCAATGCCGGGCAGCGTGCCAGGTACAATATGGATAGCAGGGATCATGGCAGAAAGTCTTTTCACAGAGACATATACCATTTCACGGTAGCAGCCTATAGCGCTTTTCAAAACTTCCCATTTTCAAGGGAGACGTGCTGGCTCGAGTGAGATTTTTGTCCTGGGTTTGTAATGGAGAGCTCTCCTACTTTAGTCTCCCTTGGCTTTCCAAGCTCTGAGGCAGACCCACAAAAACGCGCGCGCGCATACACGTTGAGGGTTTTGGAGGCTTCTCCCTCCACCCTCCGCGAGAGAAACCTTCCCGGAGAAAAATTTCGTACGGTTCTCTTTTTTTTTAACCTCTCTCCCTCCTTTGGGGGCTGGGGGGGAAAAAGATTGAAGCTTAAGTTTTATTATTTGTGCCTCCCCCTCCTCATTTTTCACTAGCTCTACTGTGTTCGTGTGTGTGTGTGTGTGTGTGTGTGTGTGTGTGTGTGTGTGTGTGAGGAAGGGAGAGCGCGCTCCTCTGAGGGCATTTTTGTGTAGGTTTTGCGGGCGGGGGAGGGGAAGGCGAGGAGGGAGCGGATGTGAACGGCTCGGCGCTGAACTTGGATGCAACGTCTGCCTAGAGGGCGCAAACCAGCATCCCGCGTCCAAAAGTCTTACGAAGGGCGCCAAAAGTTACTTAAGATAATATTGCTAACCACAAAGAGCTGGAAGTCGTGGAGCAAAAACCGCATGCCAGCGAGGGAAGGACAGCCAGGGGCTCGATCCTGCCTCCATCGCCAATACCTTCTTTTACTCCTTTCTTCTTCCTCCGTTAGGAGGAAATTGGACCATAAATAAATAAATAAATAAATAAATAAATAAACAAATAAATAAATATCTGGCTTAAGTTACACAGAATGATCAGGAAGGAGGTGGGATAGCTAATGGGGTGGGGGGAGAGGAAAAGTTTGTGAAATGGACACCCACAATAGAAAACAGGAACGTTATCAGTCTCCCCCTCCCCACCCCCTGGGGAAAAAAAGGTATCAAACCATTAAAAAAAAGAACAGTTTTTGTGGTCTCTTGCTCAACAAAATAAGCTCAGTGGTCTCATTAAACCCAGTGCCTTACTTAACTTGCCTGCCTTTTCACACAACTACTGGACTGCTATCAGGAAAGGTCTGGGAACTGGTGCCAAGCTGTCAGTCTGTGGCTAACCAGTGGGGCACATTTACCGCCATGGGGAAAGGATTCAGCTTCCCCTTGCCACCACAGACACCGCTTTGGAAGTATTTGTGGCTGTAGTGCCCCACACATGCCAAAACCTGTGTGTAGTGTCTGATGTAGGGACTGTGAATAGCCTTAAGCTGGGTTGGTTGTGGCAAGCAGCAGGAACTACACCTAATCTACATCAGGGGGATACACAGCAGAGGAAAGGAAAATGTTCTCTTGGACCAGCAAGCTCTCTTGAGTTTAGAGGTTGAAAAAAAAGAGGGAAAACCACATTTGGAGCATATGGAAAGCAATAAAAAATGGTATTTCATGGTATTTGAGTTGTTTTTCCTCAGTATTTTTGCTCTAAGCAAGTTTTGTCAACCAGAAAATCCTGCCCAGGAAACTTGGAAAATGAAGAAATCCCATTAAATTTCTTTCCATGGCTTTATGTTAATCAAAGGTATATTGGCTACTCTTTTTTTTATTATTAAGAAGCTTGGAATGGAGCCTTCACTGAAATCAACTCTCTGCAGCCTACAAATGATAAGATTTGAGTGACACATTCAAAAGAAATCAAGTAATATAGTAACATAGGCCTTATCCCCTGGATAGACTTTTAAAAGTTTCCCTGCCTTTAAAAAAAAAAAAAAAAGGTCTGTAACATTTTAAACTTTTGAGGCACCTAAATCTAAGTTTCATAAAGGAAGGCTGGCAAGCAGAATGTGGCATGTCTTGTGGTATCCTCTTCCCTTTTTTTAATGAATGGTTATGGATCTGTCAAGTGTCTGAAGGCTGTTGGTTTTTTGGGAAAAGGATAGAAGATCAGAAAGGACTCCACTTAGTAGATTTAGTAAGACTAGAAAGAAAATATAAAGCTCAGGGCAAGAAAATGCTGGCTTGCTGGCAATTTTCCAAACCCCCAAAAACCAAAGCTTTTCTTGTGCCAGAACAATGCATTATGATAAATAAAGGATGGAAGGCTGGATTCTTAGTTTAATCACTTTTAAGTAGTAAATACTGATGCTTTCTTCTTGTGGGTTGCAATGCAGTCATTAAGTTCTGCATTGTTAGTAAAAGCAGCAAAGCTTTAACCTTTTCAAAGTAGAAACAAACAAGCATGGGCATTCATGAAATGGCTGGAAAATGCTGAGCTTCTCACTGCAATCTTGTTTTTTTTACCACGATCTTTTGTCAAATGAGCCATACAGATTGATGAACGTCAGCATTTATAGGTAAATGCATTATTATCTTTATTATTATTATTAAAAGGAACTAACCTTTAACACTCCAAAGAATTTCACTTAGGCAGAAAGTTCTTGTGGGGAAATGCAGTTTTTGGTACCTAAAGAACACAATTTTGATACTTGGAGGAGTGTGTTCAAGATAGCACCTATTCAAAATTATATACATTTTTAAGAGTATATACCTCTCTCTCTCTCTATATATATATAGAGGTATATACTCTTAAAAATGTATATAATTCTCTCTCTCTATATATATATAGTGGACTGAATACTCTGGAAAGATATTGCAGCCAGCAGGCTTATGTATGGTTCTTCTGGGCAGAAAATCTCTCTCTGCAGGAGATGAGCGGTAGGAAAGTTTAGTTCGAAATTCTTCGGAAAGAGAAGAAGGAGGGAAAAAAAAAAAAGACGTGTGCGCGCATGGGAGTCGGGGGTGGGTGGGCGAGAGAGACCGAAATGCCAAAAAGAAGTTTTGGTTGCTTAAGCACATCCTGCATAGCCTATAGCCGCTCGGGAGCCCGACAGGCAAGCGGCTCTTAATTGCGTTCCCAGTAATGCACTGAGCACGGGGATCTGGGATAGGGAGGGCTGGCCGAGCAGTAGCACTGCAGCCCCCCTCCCCCGGGCAAGGCAGCGAGCGAGCGAGCGAGCGAGCTGCTGCTGCTGCTGCTGCTGTGGAGCGGTGCAGAGCGAAGCAGAAGCTGGCTGGAGGCTCGCTGGCAGGCACCCGGAGAAGCTGGAGCCCGAGGCTTTCTGCTGCCGCTGTCGCTGGAAGCGTGGGGAGGGTGGGGGGAAGTGTGCACTATGCCTTTAACGCCTGGGTACAGTAGACATGTATAGTGTGTAGTGTAGGGAAACTCTAGGCGGGGTTAAAGTTCAGCTCATGGAGCTGATCAGCGCTGGCTGCAGTTTAGCAGAGTTGGAAATGTGAAAGCAAGAAGCAGGCTCGGTTCTTCCCCCTTTCTTTTTTTTTCTTCTCTCTCTCTCTCTCTCTCCCTCTCTCTATTCCTCTCCCTCCCCTTCTCTCTTTTCTCCTTCCCTCTCTCTCTCTCCCTCTCTCTCTCTCTCTCTTCCCCTCTCACTCACACACCTCCAAGCCACAACCCCCCCTACAGCAATCATGTACTCTCCTCTCTGCCTTACCCAGGTAAGAAGCTCTTCGGATTCAATCGGGAGGAGGGGAATGGCGGAGGGGGGTTGCGGGAGGTTCGTCTGAGCGTTGCCGGGGGTAGGGGGGGCGCGTCGAGGGCGGGAGGGTGAGATCCAGCTTGCGGAAAGTAACTTTCTTTTCCGCGAGGTTACATTCTTGCTCTGGCTCGGCCATTTGTATAGACACATGGCTAATGGCGCCTTGTTATTAAGGTTTTTATTTAATTAATATGGGGATAATGCGAGGGGTTTTTTTATGTGTGTGTGTTTGTGTGTTGGAGAAACCGGGTGTCTCTCGGCAGTGGGGAGGGTTCGTACCGAAATGCGGTGTGGATGTCTGCGTATGTGGGTGTTTAGGACGATCTGCACGTGTTTAGCAGCCTCGCAACCCATAACATGCTTGGTCATCTGAAATCAATACTTACTGTTTGTGCTTCCGAAGCGGACGAACGTGGAACAAACGCAACCCAGATACAATTAGATGCTTTGTGTGTTGTTTTTAAAGTGTAGCATTAAGTAATTGCGTGCTGCGTGTATTCTTTTCCCCGCCTCCCGGACTGCTGGAGCTGCATTGCTTTTTCTCCATAAAGTCCCTCGCACACTTTTGTGTTGGGTTATAAAAACGTGTAATGTGTTCGGCAGCCTTGGGGCTCAGCCTTTGCCCGTACGCGGCACGCAACGTGTGCTCCGGTCCTCGTCGGAACCGGAGGTCTGGAGAGATGCATTGCACCTAAGCCTCTAACTTTCCCTCCCGTACGTTGCGTCGCGCTTTGCTGGAGAACTTAAGAGCTTTAAGGGAATCCACATTGCGCACCGCGCTAGCTGCAGCGGCCGCAGTTCTGCAATCCGTTCCGTTACTCTCCTGCACGGCCCAGTTCGGGATCTTCGGAGTCTCCAGCAGCCTCTCGCAAGGCGGCTGAGCCAGGGCTATCTATTCCCAGTCAGAGCTGCCCTCCTGGCTGCCTCTAACGCTTGTCACTTGCTCGGGTGTCATATTTGCCTGGGGTTGTTTCCTTTGGGAAGTTAGGTTGGTTGTAATGTCCTGCCCGGGGAAAGAAGGAGGCGGGGAAGGGAGTTGCTGTTTGGAGAAAGTTGCTGGGTTCCTTTTGTTTGCATCTGAGCGAAGTTCCTCGTGGATTACAAATCAGTCCAAGTGGGTCTCCAGCCCACTTCGCGCCTCCCCAGATCTCCTGATTGCATTACTTTGAAATTTGAAGAGTTGTGCGGATGACGCCTAAATACTACCCAGGCAGATCTTTCTGGGAAACTGCGAACTTTAGGAGTTCGACAACTTTTCTAACTCCCTACACAACTCCCCCCTCAACCCCCAGCGCTTTACCCCCCACCCCCAGAAAACTCTAATGCAGCGCCAGATTTTTTGGCAACATTCCCACACTACCCCCATCCATGCTCCTTCTGAGATTAGTTGCCACGATTTAAAATCAGAAAAATAGGTTGCACTTCTGATTTTGCTATTGGGTTTTTCACAAAATACTTTTCTCCCCCCCCCCCCCCCACTTTTTTTTCTCTAACTGATAACCTTGGTTAGACCTTTGGTATTTCCCATTCTGAACAGTGAAACCGGAAAAGTTCCTAGGGAAATTGTGTAGTTTCTTCCATTGCCATTTCAGCACTTCTGCCCCCACAGAAAAAAACAAAACAAAACACTTGTATACTTTAGTTTCTAAATGGTGATGAAAAGGGTGGTTTGGAATTGAGCACCTTGAACACCTTTAAAACACCAGAAAGAAGGAAAAATGAACAATACATGTTTCAAATGACCCAGTGAGAAACTTAGGAATGAATAACTTGGAAAAATTGTGCCCAATGATACACAAAAGCTGTCACCTAGAGCCAAAGAATATGTGTATTTATAACAACGTATCAAATCAAAAATACTACACAACGGCATTAAACTTTATTGACTACATTGATTATAAGTAGAAGATAACTGCTACTACATTTTGAGCGTGAATTTTTCAAAGCCAACTTTTTCAGAAGTTTTATCTCTCACAGAAAACTCAAGTCAAATCTATTTTCTGCTTGTTTACTTTCTTAAAATAGATAATATTTTTTTTTATTTTAAACACCAATAAAATGTCCTCTGTTCCCATCTCCCACAAGGGGGAGGGGTCTTTTATTAGGCCTTGCTACACATTTATAAGTTTCCAGATATATTTTTTGCACCTTGGTCCTTAACCTAAGAGTTACTTTGTGGCATGTTGTTTTCCAGTCTCATGGTAAGTTTGGAAACATTTAGAGATTCAGAGACATATTTATAGAATCTGTTCAAAAAGTTGTATACATGACACCTGATTGCTTTGGACCAAAAGATTTCAAAATTAAGAAAGGCTTAGCTTAACATGTTGTTTAAATACCCATCCATAGTACTGGAAGATTAGAATATGATAAGGGGATCTCTACATTTACCCTGTAATATAGGGGAAATTACCTATTTGCTGTTTATTATATACTGTTTTGGCTGTATTTTAACAGCTTATCCTAGATGCACAGATTATTATGTAGATTTAGGACAATGGAAATATTAATGCTGTGAAAGTTTATAAATCTGGCAAAGTTTCAAATGGAGCAGATCAGTGAATTATTTCTAAATACTGCTATGCTCTGTTTTTCTTAAATATGGCTTCACTGTTGTTACATCACGTTCAAATATACGTTAAGATTTTTGTTAAATAATTCAAATGTATTTGTATAGCTATGGTAAAGTGTCATTAAGAACTCATAGCTGTGAACCATAAAAAGTATTATAAATTCACTTTTGTTATTTTCCTCTTCTGCCAATCTGGAAGATATAAATGGGATCATGTGATATAAAAAAAATCCTAAAATTATTCATTTAATGTTATAGAACTTTTACTTATAATTTCAACTTTAAAAAGAAAACCATGTATACCTGTCTTTTTTCTTTTTTTTGGTGGTAGTTGTTACTTTTCATTTTTAAGTAATTCTGACCCACATCTAAATGTTCTTAAATTTTCTGGCAAACCTAGAAAGCAATAATTTGTTTTAGTTGTGCATATGTTAATAATATTCCTTTTTTTTTTAAAGATAATGTATTATAGAGTAGACAGATCCTTCTTGAACAATTGATCTTTCATACATGGTTTGACGGAACCCAATCTGGATAGCATTACTTATATCAGCAATGGGGGATCTCTTTAATTATATCATTACGAGAAACTCATTTGGAGGATTTTGAATATTTTAGGTAGATTTTTAAGCTATTGTCTTCCTTTTGCAACTGTATATAATAGCATTGCTGGATTTCATTATACAATAACATTGTTTCAAAATGTGAGCCTCTGTATAGTTAATAAATGGTAAAAAAGTTTTTAAAATAAAGTCGAGATGCATTTAAGAAAGCACAAAGATTTGTAATAATCTTTTATTTTAGAATGGGTAATTTTACAGATTTATGGCATAGAAGGGTAAGCATTCCCAAATCTCTCTCTCTCTATCTTTTTGGTATTGTTGGCAATTGAATGCATGTGAGAAAGGCCTTAACATTTTCTGTTCTATGCATAATTATTTTAGTTGCAGCTCTGGTTGTGGCTATCTTGGATTTGAGAGTAAATTTATGAAAATATAGCTACTTAATTATCAATATAATATTTTTCTAGTTTTTTTCATAGGATTTATGTAAATTATTTCTTTGTTACATGTAATCATATATTAAATGGTATAAATATTAAATCATTTTTTCCTTCAAAATCAGGCAATACACTTAATCTACTTATATTATTTTGAAAAATATTTACTGTAAAAAATTAATTCAACTCAATATTTTCATTATGTTTGTAGAAAGCGGGTAATTATTTTTAGAAGATAACACAAGATCCAACTGGTGCAACTCTTTCATTTATTGCGTTCCCTTATCCCTGATCTTTTGGTTCTGAAATTTCTTGCATTTGATCAAAGAATTTTAGACATTTTTGTAGCATTACATAAAAATACCCTTTAAAAGAATACCCATCAAATTATTTTAAGAATTGATTAGTTTTCTGAATTACATAAATTGAGAAATTTAAACATTCATCTTATTCATTCTTAGGGGAAGTAAGTCTCAATGAATTCACAAGAACTACCTTCTGAATAGGCATGTATACATTTGCACAGTGGATATTCAATATTGAAGGACACATACTTCTAGGAACAAGAGGAAGACCATGTTGTCTTCTAGTATGCCAATAGCGCTTCCTCTTCTTACAAAGAAAGCTCAAATTCGGCAAGAGACCTCCTAATATTTTAAAATAGTGCATTTCATGGATCATAGTTTTATATTGCACATTTTCTATATGATTTTATAACGAACCACATTTGTATCAATAATGGGCACTGTTACTAATTTCAGGTGGCGTTTTATAGCATTGAAGGATACTTTATTTAAATATTTATAATACAATCTTTCTTACTGTACGAGAGACATTGGAAAAATGTTTGAAATCCCTTTTTGGTTTTATAAAAGGAAAAATTCACATAAAACACGTGAAAAGGTAGATAATGCTCTCATTAGCAAGTTAGATTGTCTACATAATATTTTTTTAAAGGATAGAAGCCCTTGTATACATGGATACATACATAATGCATTTTAAGACGCATTAGCTTTTCAGTTCTGTTTCTTATTTTTTTTTCTTCAAATATTTGTGGCTTAGAATGTATTAAAACCTTGATATGTTTGATACTATTATTGTTTGCTAAATAAAGATCAGAAAGCTTAGTTGAAAGATTTGTATATTATTGTGTGTGGAAATTATTATTTTTTGTTGGTGTGAAATTATTTTTATATATTCCACTTTATTTAGCATTCTGTTGTATTACATTCACACATTCAACCTTAAATTAAAAAAATATTTTTATCATATATCAGATGGTAATTGGCTGATCATGTTCAGACTTTCAAAAGTTACAATTTTTGCCAAGCATATAGGAAGTTGGTCACATCATTCACAAGAGGGTCAGGGAAAAAGCAAATGAATATACTTCTTCCTTTTCGGAAAAAAAAATGGATGAAAATTACAGTGGTCTTGTCGCAGACTTGAAATAATTGATTTTGGAGTTACCCTATTGACTTTAAACAGCTGACTATTGTAAAGTCAGCTGTTTAAAGCTTAGAGTCTCACCTTTCTGACCCAAAATAACATTTGCTGCAAAGTGCCATGAGTTTTATTGAACTTGCTTGTTTTAGCAAATACGATTCACACTGTTATGGCAAAATATTTTCAGCACTTGATATGTGGGACTGAGTGACAGCAGAAAGTTGATTGCAGAGATTTTCTTCCTTTGTTATCAGAATGTAGAAATATTTATGTCTGTACATAATATAGGTGTTGCTCTGTTATTGGCCTAGTTGCAAGTTACAGTCACCAGTTCAGAAGACATAAAACCTTCACACCTTTACCTTGTGGTAATTTTTTTTCTACTCTGATTATTTTCAGGATGAATTTCATCCCTTCATTGAAGCACTTCTTCCCCATGTCCGAGCATTTGCGTACACATGGTTCAACTTACAAGCTCGGAAGCGAAAATACTTTAAAAAACATGAAAAGCGCATGTCAAAAGAGGAAGAAAGAGCGGTGAAGGATGAATTGCTAAGCGAAAAACCTGAGGTTAAACAGAAATGGGCATCTAGACTTTTGGCAAAGCTTCGGAAAGACATCAGGCCTGAATATCGGGAAGATTTTGTTCTAACTGTGACAGGGAAAAAACCTCCTTGTTGTGTTCTTTCCAATCCAGACCAGAAAGGCAAAATGAGAAGAATTGACTGTTTACGGCAAGCAGATAAGGTCTGGAGGTTGGACCTTGTTATGGTGATTTTATTTAAAGGTATTCCGCTTGAAAGTACTGATGGCGAACGCCTTGTAAAGTCCCCACAGTGCTCAAATCCAGGGCTGTGTGTACAGCCCCATCACATAGGGGTTTCTGTTAAGGAACTCGATTTATATTTGGCATACTTTGTGCACGCAGCAGGTAAGTGCCTATATTTAAAGTTGTCCACTGTTGAATACGTTTGTTGTGCAAGGACTTAACCACATGGTTATTCCAGTGCGAGGCGTGCTTGCACCTGACCATGTAAGTTAATTAAACTGTGTTGCTTGCTCTGTCTATATGGTGGTCCAGATGACCTCAGAAGCAGAGAAGCTATAGATTGTGTAAAACTGCAATGTAATTCAAGAAAAGTTATTGTGAAAGAACGGTGTCTTTCACTATTGGCCTAATGTGCAATGTACCTGAAGCATTTTCATTAGAATCCCTTTTGAAAATGCTTGGCACTAGAATGTTGTCTATTTCTTAGTATTATTTTTTTTAGTTTGGTGTAAATTTGGCCACGAAGAAAAGAAATGAAAACAATATTTATGCGATATAAGTCAAATGTTAAATGGTTATCATACCTAAAAAAGAAATAGGCAAAAATAGAGGCCTTATTAGCTGCTATATCGATTAAAGAAATTTCTACTTAATGAAGGAAGAAGAATTAAAATATGTACTTAGTAATTGCTCTATATAAATAGAATATTATCGATTTTAAAGAATGGTTTATTAATTTAACAGTGCTGCATGGTGGAAAATGAATATATGCATTGTTTTTTTTTATTCTTAATGAAAAATAATACATTTTTCTGCAGCCTGCTTTGAGGAAGTTTGTTACCTTATGACTTTTGGTGGCTAACATGAGCACCAGAGTGATATTTCTAAGCAACTCATTGTAATTTAGTGTGACCAAGAATTTAGTTTGGTTCAGATATGGAGAAGAAAAGACATAGATTTCTCAATTTGTTAAATGTATGCATCTGTGTTTGTACGCAGCCTTTTTAAATGTGAGGCATATTGTTAGCTTTTAGGTGGTTTTGTACAAAAGTGAAGTTGCCTGTGTCTATTTAACGGCTTTATATGTACTAGTGTTACTGTGATAATTGGTTTGTGCAGTTACAGTTTTGATTTTGTGCTATGGAATCACAGAGTGGTGTGCTCTGAATATGAACTATTATGCACTTTTCACTAATGAAGCATATGAAAATATTGATAAAGAGATGATTTAAAAAAAACCAATACTGTAAATCTTTGACTTTTATTTGGGATCTGTGTTTTGTGTGTGTGTAATAATGGCGGTGTTTTATTAAGTACAAATGTTTACAATAGATCGTGGCCTCCGTGAGAGTTCATTCATATATATATATATATATATATATATATATAGTGTACTGAGTGGAAAAATTCATGAATTAAAAATAAAAATAAAATATAGAAGTTTAATAAATTTGGTGTTAATGGCATATTGCAAACTCTTTTTGCACATTCGTTGATGTATAATGTGAATTAAATTGGTTTTTAAAGGATTCATATTTCATTGAAAGTGTTTGTTAAATGCTATGCCTTTCTCACTTTGATTTAGTTATTTAAAGTTGTTATTTGGTAACATTGCAAAAAAGCCAAAAAGCTATAACATATTTTCTAAAACTAACTGCGCTATAATATTGTTAGCAAAAATAAAACGCACAAAGTGGAAAAAGAAACAATGAATACAAGTAGGCCGAATATAACCCTTTGCTGCATTATAGATGTTAGGAGAATATTGTAATGTTTTAATTACAACTCCTCTGCTTTCCTATCACTTAAGAATAACAACTCTCATTTTGAATACCTTTTTCAATTGTTTTGAATACCAACTAAAGGTATTATACAATTCAGCTATATAATTTATTCAAGACTTAGATCATTTGAGTTCAGTGTTTCTATATAAAATACAGGTGGTACTTGTAGTTTTGTTATAAATAAAAATAGATTTGTAGTGCTTTTAGAATACATATTATTATAGTTTATTACATGTTTGTATTGCATCACATTTTATGCCCTGTTTTGGAAAGTATTTCAGTAATCACCTGTAAAGAATGAAAAGCATATCTATTATCCTTATATGCAATATATCACTGGCAGCATTCATTATTTGTAAATGAGGGAGAAAGATTGTACAGGTAATCCTGTACTTGTGGCCATGATTGAGGCCAAAATTTTTGTTGCTAGGTTTGTTAAATGAATTTTGCCCTGTTTTATGACCTTTGCCCCGTTTTATGACTTTTCATGCCTTAGTTGTTAAGTGAGTCACTGCCATTGTTAAGTTAGTAACACGGTTGTTAAATAAATCTGGCTTCCACACTGACTGTTTATCAGAAGGTCCCAAAAGGGGATCACATGACCCAAGACACTACAACGGTCAATAAAGCATCTGAATGTGAATCATGTGAGTATGGGGATGCTGCAGTAGTCATAAGTGTGAAAAATGGTCATATGGCCTTTTTTCAGTGCCATTATAACTTTGGTCACTAAATGAACTGTTGTAAGTCAAGGATTACCTGTACTTGAAGTCCGCTTTATTCTGATATTTCTCAGAATCCTTTGTCACCCCAGAATACTAATGAGGTTCATACTAACTTCTCTTGGATAGGTGTAGTAATGAAATTGGCATTTATTTGTTTGTTTGTTTATTATTTTAAAAAATTTACAGAGCCACCCAACTCACACATAGGTGACAGCTTATAGTTTACACCAGATGCGAACACTAACATAAGTTTTAGGAATTCATTGTTGTCAAACGTTTCCAAATGGCGGTAACCTTATTAATTATGGTAAGGAATTTGCCAGTATAAAATGAAGAAATAATACAAAAATTGACTTGCAAGCAATGAGAATTGAACAGCAAATCAGAAATCTTCAACATTTTTATCTGGTAAAACTTTTGTTATCAGAAATGGAAAGAAATTCACATCGTGTAAGATTTTTGTCATATAAGTATGTATTAAAATTATTGTGATGTCTTATTATTACTATTACTTCATACTCTTCTGAGGTAATTTAATTGTCAATCTTTTCTAGACAAGCTGTCCCTTTCTTTTTAAAAGTTCGTGTACCATGGTTGCTTTAAAAATCTCATGTTTTTCCACATTTTACCTTTTTTCAGTCTAACTTTTTAAACGATTTAGCCACACTGTCCTATTCCAACTAGACTAAATCACAAAAATATTGGTCCTATGTAGTAACAAGAAAATGCAATTTCGTGACTAAAAATACTTCCCTTATATCCAAAATAAAGTGAACAATAAGTTATCCGCTTGGAGGTCTCAAAGATGTTTATTCTGATTTTACAGTACGGAAGTGGGGGAGAGCTGACTCCTGTAAACTAAAAAAAGAGATATGTGTGTTTGTGTATGTATATATAAATAAGTGTATGTATGTATGTATGTATGTATGTATTTATGTATGTATGTATGTATGTATGTATGTAATTTATATATATCTTGATTCTGCTTCCCTAGTATCAAATAACAAGTTGGAAATGATTGTGGCAAACATTGTTTCTTTGTGGGAGTATAAGTCTCCAGGAAATTTATGACCAGTCTTTTAACCAGATGATCTGTATCAGAATCTCCCATATCTAGGCACGTGGCAAGGTCACCATTTAAGTTGTTGGGGTCACAACCTTCGCCACCAGGCATTTGACCTTTGTGATAAAGTTAACCTTTGTTCATTAGGAGCCACTCAAGCAAGAACTTCCTTGTTTTTTACTGCGGCAGCTAACAGGATCACATTGTTAAAAGTAATTCTTAGCTCAAGTATTGGGTTCAGTGCAAAAGTTTAAAGATTTTCTGTGTGGGTTTCTTTTCTCCTTTTTTCTTCTTTTCTTTTTTAGCCTTTTTCCTGCAGGCAAAGCTGTGCCTGTTGGCCACACAATAGTCCAAGGCTTTATCTATTGCTTGTTTTGGATATGACTTTTAACAGCACAAACCTGTTCATTTTTGCTCTCCACAGCCTTATTCCACAGTGAATTTATTTATTTATTAAAGAATGCAATCTATATTTGAAAAAAAAATAGTTAAAAAAAACTTTAGGAGGAATTTTGCAAAATTATAAAGTGTATTGAAAAAGCTAGGCCTTTTACATTTGAATTAGGTTGTTTTGTATAGATTTTAATGCGATTAAGTACTGAATCTAAACTAGCTACAAGGCCAATTTAATTTTGATAATGGTGAAAATGTATTTTGTTCTGGAAATAAATCAGTGTCTAGATGGGATCATGTCTTTAATCTGAAATAAGATGATACATATTCAATAATAAAATATATTGGATACTGTTATAGGACTTGGACTTTGTAATTTTACAATAATAATAAATGACATTCATTACACTCATCCTGATAATAGATCATTTTGTATTTTGCAGCAGCATTTCTTCAGGTATACTTGTACAGTAAGTTGCAAATAAAATAGTTACAAGTCTTTGTAGTCCATGATACTGTCCAGGAAAAACAAAGTTATTTTATCATGTATTTCTAATTATAATTTTATCATATATTTCTAATCTTATCATATTATTTCAACATCAATGTAGGACTGAGGATTTTTCTTAATTATTTTATCTTTTTAAATAATAGTTCCCTTTTCTTGTTCAATAACTTATTATTTATTATAAATAAAATGAAAACAAATAACCTTTGTTTATATCAGATAGCATTTTCCTTGGTTTCTACTTATTACTGCTATTCCTTTGAATGATAGTACATGATTTGCTGATTAACCAGATGGCCAAGGTAACAGATTGGGAACCTGCTCTGAACTAATAAAAAGCAGGTGTAAGATCACAGAGGTTTCTAGTTTCTCCCCAAATGAATTAGAAATTCCTTTTAGAATTGTATGTGACTCATAGTAAAGATAATTACATTTCGTTTTAAATTTAAGCTATAACATTAAATATGTTTCATTCTCAATATCTGAACCAGATGCCATAATGAACGTAGATTCAAGTAATTCGATGATCTGTATGAGAACTTAAATTATTTGGGTATCCAACATTGTTTGGATTCTGTGTGTACATTAAATAAATAAATCACCAAGGAGCATGATTTTAAATATGATATGATAGTCAGAAAGATTTTGAATAAGTTCCAGGCAGCAAGTATTGAAGATATTCTGATGAG